CTGGCATTTATTTTTTTCCAGAAAGAAGTGGTTCTCATAGCATTTGACAGAACAATTAACACTTATGGAAACAAGTTATAATGCTAACTTCTGACTTCTCACATACAAAAAGACTACTTTCCATATTGGAATGGTTCCAAATATAATCCGGTGCAGAGTTTAATCCAATTTAAAACTGAAATTAAAATTTGTTGCCATCTAATGCCTCAGATGTGACTTCAATTTCCTCCCAGACTTTAGAGCCAAGATATCAAAAGAAAGACTGCACTGAATGGTTTCTGTTATCTACAGCTAAGTAAGGGGGTGGGGGTAAGGGAAGACATGCATAAACACTTTAACATTATATATTACATATACATGTAATATTACAATATATATCCTATATTACATAATATATGATTGGAGATATATATATACATATATACATATCCCCTTTTTACCCTTTTTCTCTCCCTGCTTCCTTATTTGATAAATTATATTTCTATTTAGAAATAGAAGTAGAGGTCATTCATTCATTCATTCAATTCTTTCTGGTTCTTTTTGTGAATTTCCAGCTTAGGGAGTGGGGGAAAAAATTTTTTTCGACTGATCAATAAGAAAAGACTTTCATACTGAAAAAACCAAAGATTACATCCTTAAACAAACACAAACGACAGTCCGGAGGCTTGTTTTCTCCAGGCCTCGAAAGAAGCCAGCAGTGTGGTTAATTTCAACATGTGGACAGTCGAAGGACTTTTAGATATAGGGAGAACCCTAAATTCAAAATGGAAAAACAAAAACATACCATTGAATAGTTAATACTTTCTCTTTTGTCATTAGATCTAAAAGTTCGTCCTGGCACCAACACAAAGAAGTAATGATTCCATCAGCAGCCTAACAGATGGCGAGCACGAAATGGCTCTAACCTTCTCCGAGAAAGCCAGAGAATAGCTCCGTGGAGTTTAATTTAACAGGATGGTGGCTGCTGTTTTCTTTCTGCCGCCTCGCACATCACGCCTGTCCAGAGTTTGGAGAGCCACATCTTAACGTCCTGCAGTGCAGTTATTGCTCAGACTAACCCTTTGAAACAAGCAAAGGCCTCTAGTTATGGTGGGATTTTTCAGCTTGGGATCTCTTCAGATCACTGTGATTCTTACAAAAAGGGCAGCGTTTGGGGGAGGATTTCTTGCAAGTCTTTCCTTTAGTAGCACTGAAGAGACCCTAGAATACTTTTTCTCCCCCTTGGACCATGAATAGTATTTTTTTTTCATCCATAACAAAATCTTTTTATTGATTGAGTCACCGTGACAACAGTTACAAAGCTTTCAGGTTAAAGTCTTGGTCATACTAGATCAAACACCCATCCCCTCACCAGTGCATATTTTCTACCACCAAGCACCTCAATATAACCCCCCATCCCATCCCTCCCCACGCCTGTGAGGCAGATGATTTCCACTTAATTCTCTCTACTTTGATTACATTATTTCAACAAAAGATGCATCATTATTATTTGGAAATTTACCCCAACAATCAGACCAGCTGAAGAGGCATTGTAAAATAATTTGTTTTCTAGTGCTCATTATGAAGACCATATGATGTCGCATGGCCGTGTTAGTGGTCTCATGATTTTGGACTTCTGATAATTTACTGATTAAGTCTGGAGGGATTTCTGCCAATAGCTGCATAGTTCTGAGATTTGTTTGTGTGCCTCTGGGTCCATGACAGTGCCAGAGAGCTGCTCGTGGGGGGCAACTCGTGGTCTCGGCGGGGCGGGAAGGACATGCTGGTTGCAATTTGCTTTTTAAACATGAATATATTTTTCTGATGGACAAAAGGGAAAATGCTAGAAAGGGAGATTTTGTACAACCTGCACAGGTTCCCTCCTCCAGCCAGCTCTACAAAAAAAGAAACATCCCTTCAGAAGTCAGGAGGAATTACTGTCCCTAAGTTAAGGGTGTCCTAGCAGCTTTATACAATCCTAATGCCGAGCTATAAACTGGAACCTCCACGGTGAAACCAGGCTATCAGTATTGTTTTTATAAAGCTTGTTTTAACTGTCATTCCAAATACAAATAAAATACTGTATTTAAAATCTAAAATACTGCACTGGAAATGCCTGTAAACTATTTCTACAAATAAACTTAATTTTTTTTGAGTTCCCAATGAACTTGTTTTTGTCATTCTTGGAATCTGCCCGCTGCACCTCTTAAGGCTTGTGATAAGTGATTTCTGGGGTTTTACAGGATTGGCCCACAATAGTTAGCTCATCCCTCAAAGCCAGCAAGAAAATACCAGGCTGGTATTATGGCCTTAATCTCAAGAGACACCCTCAGTCCAGGCTGCAAGTCAGAGTTCTGAAAGAAGAGATATTGAAGTCCAGATATCCTGTACCACGGTTACTGTGCACAGGTGCTCCTACGTGGGACAGATGAGCTTGATCTAAAGCAAATCACACCTTCAAACAGGGCTAGAGGAAGAGGATGGGAGTGAGGTACATGTTTTGCATGCAGCCGGCCACAGTTCAATCCCCAGCAACCCATATGGTTTCCCAAGCACTGCTAGGAGTGTTCCCTGAACACGGAGTCAAGAGTGATCCCTAAACAAAGCCAGGTATAGCCCAAGCTCCCCAAAATAAAAGGAAAAGAGACTTGCAGTAGATAGAAGACTACGCCTCAGGGAACCAGCTGTCATTCAAAAGGTCTGATGTGCCTCTGACTAATTCAGACATTACCATTCACAGCCATGTCATCTGCTGGGGAGACACTAGGGCCACCAAGCAATGCATTTTCTCCCAACACCTGCCCTGGGCATCCAATGATTTACTCTGCACCCTTTAATACACAACTGTCACCTGATTTCCCCAAGAGGTAACTGTGTCTGGCCTTAGCATCACTTGTAGCATCCATCAGGTAAGAGCCAGCCTTCTGAAAATTCACCGATCATACAGATCCTGCTTAGGCACCAAATAGAAGCTGTTTAAACTAAAGACTGAGCCGCTAAAGGGAACCCACTTCTGACCAAAGAAAAGTGTCAAAAGGACTTGAAAAAGGCATTTTGGTGACAAGGCACAGAAACACTCAAATGCACTGAAGGACCCATGGACGAAGAAGGGGAAATCTCATGGAAATGGGGTACAGAAAATGTAGCTGACCCCACAGGCCCGCAAGCAGCTGTCTGCACCCCCTCTTTCTTTGAGGCCCCCTTGTCTGCATGCTGCCATCCTCTTGATGGGGCTCCCCCTCTTCTCCTTCTCCAGTGCTTGGTCCTTTGCTCCATTAGCACCTGACCTCCTCTGCATCCCTGAGAGCTCTCCAGTTATTTCTGGGAGAGATTTTCATGCATAGGGGAAGGGAACGCTAACATCATCTGGTGGAGAATGCTCTCGCTGGGGCCCGGGAAATGGACAAGGATCATCAGGACAAATCACGAAGAGGAGCTGCACAGAAGGAATTAGATTCCACACATAAACACGAATTGCAACACCTTTATTTCAAATTGACTGCAAGATTGGATTTCCTAGGTAGATACCAATTTACCGGTCTAAATCACAATAACACTAAATCAAAAACACTTTATCTTGCACAAGAATTTGGCCTGAGAAATAGTCATTTGGATTTTCACTGGCTTACAATTCACATTATAGAACCAGAGAGATAAAATATTAGCATGATTGGGGGGAAGGGCACAATTTACAAATCAAGAGAGATCAGGCATTTGTATCAAGCACTCACTTATCTTGAGGCCAGAGCTCTGATAACTACAGTTGAGGATAAGGAAGAAAGGAAGGAAGAGAGCTGAGTTCTTATAATAATATCACCAAATCAACGAGGCCACATTCATTCATTTCACTGTCGGAAAAGCCTCCCAAAGCCTTCCTCAGAGTTGACACAGAATCAGCAGTTACATGGTTTCCTAACCCCACACAGCAAATGGGAGGGAAAGTCCCGAGGGGCGGGCAAAGAGAAATGACAAACCAGGAGGGATGAGAAAAGCTATAAACAAACATTGCCAATCTCAGGGCAGAGTTACTCAAGGCTATTTTGTGTGGGGACATTAATAAACCTGAAGAAGACCTTACAGAAAATGTATAGGATAACCCTGACAGATTTTTATTACCTTCAGTGGGTTCTATTTGCAAAATCAGGGAAGTACATTATGAAAGAGTTCCATGCAAATGGTTGAAATAAAACAAAAACAGTGTTCCACTTAAACGAATCACAGTTGTCTATACCGCACACCCACGATGTGTCATAAATGATGCACTATTACATATATACTGCTCATAAAATATGCAAAGCAATTTTTATAAAAAAGACAACAGCACCTTTTTTAAATCCACATGATTGAAACCGTAAAAGCCCGTTCAGGATAAAAGCACCTCAATCATGCAGGGTTAGCTTAAGTCAGCTTCTCGCTGCATAAAATCTTAGACTGTGTCCTGGATAATCAACTGGATGGGCCCATCTAGCTGCAAAACCATCTTGAGTGATGAGAAACACAGAAGCTAAAAGCACCTCCCCTGACATAGAATTTCTCACAGTGAGGTCTGTAGAATGACCAAATCTGATGAATTTGTTTGAAAACATAGATCCCAGCTAACAATTCACTAATGAAAGTGGAAAAAGGAGCCTGAGAAGCTAGGACCAGGGTCCCAGAAGTGTCCAGGAATCACATCTGAGGGATTTCTGGTCCAAGTAGAAGGCTGCAGATCACTCCAGTGAATCAACCCTTTGAGATGAGTTTCAGCAGCCCTGGGACTTGGAAGAGATGAAACGGGCCATTCTGAGAGTGAGTCTTTCCAAACTCTGCTCTTCACATGCTTCAGGAGGCTGAGTGCTTGGTGCTGGTATTCCTGCCATTGAACTTGAACCAGAGAATACTGCCACATGGGGATATCTGAGTTTTATCACAAAAAGGACTCTGACAATAAAACATAAATTCTAACAAGACATAGTTAATCTTTAAAAAGAGCCAAAGATTTCTTAGCTACAGAGTTTGAAGAAATAAATATCCATGGGGCCGGGGGGGGGGGGGGGGGGAGTATTAATACTGAGTAAGGAAAAGTGTTTGATGCAATTCCAGAGAATTACTTGGGAATGGAGGAAAACACATTGAAAAGCGTCTTTTAGAAGCAGAACACACACTTTAAGAAGAGGAGAATGAAAATCGATTAAAAATTGGCTGGGATGTTTTAGGCTGGTGCTTAGCTCTGTGAAGGCTGAGAACTACTGGCAAATATGTTTTGTTTGGCCAGCACAATGTTTTAAGCAATTATAAATTCATTGCCAACATGAAAAGGTTGATGAATGTCTCTCCTTTGCAGTACCTTCTTTTACTGGAAAATTGCAAATTAGAATTTTTAAAAAAAAGGCATGTGGCAGTACCAGGCAGAAACTGGGCACCACTGCCTTCCCCTTATGATAATGGCCCCCAGCTCTGCCAGACTTCTGGAGGCATTTGTGCCGGTCACTCCAGCTACTTCTGTGGGCTCCACTTTCTATAACATGCAAATATTGTCACAAAATATCCTTTCTTAACGCAGAGGTGTGAAGAAAGAATTCAGACAGTGACTGGAGAGATAGTACAGTGGGTAAGGCACTTGCCTTGCATAAGGCTGACCTGAGTTTGGTCCCCGGAACCCATGTGGTCCTCTGAGCCCCACCAGAAGTGATCCCTGGGCACAGAGCAAGGAATTTTATCAGCACTCCACTGGATATTACCCCCCAAACAAAAACATTTTAAAAATAATAAATAAGATGATATCTGCAGACCATCTAGAATTTGGGTCTTAATTGTGGGGAAATGTGAAATCTGATTTTCACCTTTGAAAATGTGACTTTCTGGATACTGTTCAAGATGTTCAAGATACTGGCCTGAGACATAACCTGGGTATCAGTATTGTTCCCCAGTTGATCCTAATGGGCAGAGTTAAGAACTCTGGGCAATATAGGATACAAATTGTTAAGCACAAAATATAAGACTGACATCCTCCAAATACAAATTTCTTGTCTCTCATGTCCATGATAATCCATACACTACTTGCTTTTGGAAAATGGCCCTTATTCACAAGGCTACCAAATGCCACTCAGAAGGTGAAAAAGGGGGTCCATGTGTGTTCTGGTTTTCTGGTTCTGGTTTTACCATTCATTTTTCTTCCAACACAGGTGCAAAATTAAACGCTAAAGAAATGAAGGGAAATTATCCTAAGGGAAAAATTCAGGCAGCATAAACAGTTCAAATACAATAAAAGGTTCACTGTAGAAGGATTTTTTAAAATATATGACTGCTTTGAAATTCATCAATGGGATAAGTGGAAAAATTTTAATATTAAAAAAAGAACAATTTTCCTAACACTTTCCAATAATGGCCCAAATTTTATCTTAAGATGAATTCCAAATGTTCTTCAGTATCTTAGCAGTGCACATTTATATCTTGGCTTCTGATCATAAGAAATGCAAACTACTGTCATCTAACTTTGAAACAATAATACTACCTTATATTACATTTGAAAAGCACATTTTCAAAATGGTTCCACATAATAATAATGGCTTCTATTTACTGGACTTCTACAACGCACCCAGCTGTGTGCCAGGCACTTTATACACATGATCTCAAATTAGAACAATAACCTCACAATGTTTATTCCATTGCATTTCCCATTTTATGGCTTCGGGAAATGGGCTTCAGAATGATTAAGAAGTATGTCCTTTCAGAAAGATTTAAAAGATCATTGAGCTGGTGGGAATCAGCACACAGATTCAAATCAAGGTCTGTCTGTTTGACACCCAGATCTGTGATTTTTCACATCAAACATGTATGATCAGCACAACACAGACAGGAAGTTCTTGAGCCCACTTGTCCAGTTCAAAGTACAAATTGTCAGATCTGCTCCACGTCACAGGAGTTGGTAGGAGCCGAATTCTATTTTTGCTTTCCACTCTCCACTCTGTGTTCTCTCAAGAACCCTTGAAGCACGGAGTTGGAACGATAGTACAATGGGTAGGGCACCTGCCCTGCATGTGTCCAACTTGGTTTGATCCTGGGTACCCCATATGGCCCCTGAGCTCTGCCAGGAGTGATCCCTGAGCACAGAGCCAGGAGTAAGCCCTGAGCACTGCTCAGTGTGGCCCCCAAAACAAAACAAAACAAAATTAAAGGCTCCTATCAGCAACGATGCTCGTGATTGAAGAGCACAGTGGGCTGTCCAGGTTTGGTCAACCTGACACTGTCACTGGGAAGTTAGCAGGACATCCTGGAGAAGGGCAGCTTCATCTTGCGTGGGATTTTCCTTTATCTGTAATGCCATGCAATTTCAGCAGGAGGTTCCTGCCCATGAGTGCTGCTACTTGAGGCACGATGCAGAGAGGTTCTCATTTCAGTCCTGGCATAAGGGTCCGTCTTTCCTTTATGCTGCTGACACCATATCTTTAGAGCCGTATTTCCAAAACTGGGTCTATAATGTTTGTGGCGGGGAAGTGATTCTTGAGCCTAAGCAGATAAACCACATGTTCCCTGCAAGAAAAAAAGCAAAGAACTTTATCGCCTAATAAACATGTCTCTTGAACCCATACTTATTTGCCTCTTTTCTGAAACAACTCTTAAAAACTCACTTGAATTCTATCACGATGGATAATTCTTGAAGAAATTGCACTTCTGCTTCCTAATGATATTTGAAGAAAAGCAAGCACCTCATTTTAGTAAGTCCTTTAACCCCGACGAGGTGATTCAAGGAAGAGTTCGGATAGAGCTAAAATGCAAGTCTTAATCATCCCAGCAGAAAGAACTCAGCCATGGTATCAAACCAAGCAAGCCCCATCTCCCAGCAGCCAGCAGCAAGAACAGATGTCAGGGCTATTTGTTTTATTCAAGAATGACAGGAAATCAAAAACCTATCTAATGGATGTGTCAGCAGCAACACCGCAAACATATTGGTTAGTAAGATTTTGCGCCTCTACTTTGACTCAGGACAAAATCCCCTTATAAGTTTTCAAATTTCAAATACCTACTAATCTACTAAAATATACACACCAGTGAGCTCAAGTGAGGAGCATTAATGCATTAATGCCATATACATATGTGTGTGTGTGTGTGTGTGTGTGTGTGTATTCAGCATAGTCACAGTCTGTGTGAATTAAACTGACACCAGGTATATATGAATGACTCAGTGCTATCTCTCTAAGCATATCTGTACCACCCACACAAAATGTTTCTTTAAAACAATGTTTGTGGGGCCAGAGTGGTAATACAGTGGGTAGGGCATTTGCCTTGGGATCAATCCAATCCCTGGGTTCAATCCCTGGCACCCCATGTCATCCCCCAAGTTCACCAAGAGTGATTACTGAGCACAGAGCCAAGAATAATCACCACTGGGTGTGACCCCCAAAACAAAAAAACAGCAACGCCAAAAAGTTAACAACTGCAAGCTTCCAAAGCCGGCGGGTTGTACGAGTATATGCATTGCTTATAGCATATGCCATAGCATGGGACATCATTACCTGCTAAAAAAATACCTATGCATCTTATCAGTATTTTATTGGTACGTTATGATCACCTTCCATTTTTGTACCTTACTACAACATCATCCAACTAGTGACACTGAAGCTAGTGCGGAAACATAAGCTACCACACTATTAACTTTGGAGAAGATGGTATTATGTAAGAGACATATAGTATCTTTGGGCTCCCCGATGTGAATTTAAGAGATTATGTTCTGCTCTAACTCAGCAGACAGAAATGTTTTTCTTAATGGATGAAGGAGTAAATATTTTTGGCTCTGGGGACTGTCCAGTCTGTCATAGCTGGTCCCTCTGCAGTGGAAACTAGTGCAAGCTGGGACACAGGTGTATTCCAATAAACCCATACTCACAAAGCAGGCAGCAAGCTGGATGGTCTTGGCCTGTGGGTTGGAGTTTGCTGAGCCCCGCTCTAGAGACAATTTCACCCCTTTATTTTTATATAGCATTTTACTCCTCAAAATAGCAGTCGATTCAGGCTAGAGAGATAGTACAGGAGGTAAAAACACTTCTCTTGCATGCAGCTGCAGTTGCTATGGCCTGGTTCAAATCCCCAGCACAATGGTTCCGGGGCCTGGAACAGCTCCTGAGCATTGCAGAGTGTGGTCTATCCCACAACCCGCTAATAAATAATATTTAAAAAGTAGAGTACCATACCTACAATTATGCTTCTATTTTCTATGCAACTAATTTTGAAGAAAAAAATTTTAATTCCATGAAAACAAGCACAAAAGTTTGTAAACTCTAAAAATAGTTGAGAAAGGGGTAAAAAGAGAAAGAAAATGAGCTGGCAACCACACTGCAGTAACATAATTCTCTGTCATGTGTCTGGTGGTGCTTATATAATGCTATTTGTCAAATTTAACCAAATTGTATATTTAAAAGTGCCAATTTAGTCATACACAAATAATAATAATATGCAGACTTTGGAGGAAAAAAATAAAGCCTCATTAATAGCATCATGACTTGCAATAATTGTAGATTTAGGTGGTAAGAGAATACACCTCTTATATTTTACCTTTTCTCCTCTGAGAAAACTCATCATAAATTAGGAGTTTGAATGATGTCAACCCTGCAGGAACTCAGTCCCCTTAACTGCAACTGTCCTTCCCTCAACTCCTGATTTCAGCTTCCAGACCTCAACTTTTCACAAAAGGAAGAAGCTGTAAAGTCTTGAGTTCATCATTTACCCCTCAAACACAAACAGAACTGGGTAAAAACAATACATGGGTCATTAAAGGACAGATAATGCTTGCTGAACTCTCTAGTTTTCACTGGCAACACCATCAATCAAATACACAAGTTGATTATTTCAAACATAAGTAGGTGTAAGTCCCTTTGCTTTCTCTCTGGGCAGTTTTCAGCTCCAAGGTGGAGCCCATGAACATTCTAGCAGCACAAAAAAGGCAAACATGAAGAGGCTGTGATGATAAAAATCAGGGGAAAGTCACACAAAGAAAATCAGTCCTCTGATTAAAGTCATTGGAATACAGGGCAACAAGTTCAAAGCCTGAGCGTTTAGTTTCCTCAGTGCCCTTGCGCTAATCTGCTTCCATTCAGAGATAAGGACCCATTTGAAGAAATAGTTCTCCAAAAGTGTTCTCCAAATTGGGGGCAGCAGCTCCCTGGAAACCTATTTTTAAAAAACGAGTTTCTCAGTTCACAGACCTACAAAATCAGTGACATGAAGGTGGATCTGGCCACCAGTCCTCTTGCCATCCCCAATCTGTGTTTAATAAATTTCCCTGATGACTGAGGCTCATACACTGTCATAGTCACAAATTTAAAGTTTGAAAACCAGTATATATTGATAAGGGGGTGGGGATAGCCGTCTTTGGTTCCCACTCTGCAAGGTGAGAGGCAATCTGAAATCGGTGACCCAGGGCATGAGCACTAGAGCTGCATAGAGAATAGCCTGGAAAAGATGTTGCCAAGTTTCTCTAAACAACAGTTCAGAGAAACGAGTGGGCACCATATTTACATTCCATTCCAACACTTTCTGAGCAACTGCTGTGTGCAAAGCAAGTGCTAAATGAAATGATCTTATCTACCAATAAACAAGTCTACCAATGTGTTAACTATATAGAGGCTTAAGTGAACAGAAATGGACGGAAACCTGCAAACAAGCAGAAACGCTTTCTAATTCTCAAATTTACATCCACAGGTTTTGCCAGCACATTGAATGAAGACACTCTTGCACATAAATGTTCCTATGACTTCTTCACATCACAATTGGATCTAGGGTACTTATACCAAAATCATGTGTAGTTCTATGGATTTTAGGCAACATAGGGAAGTTTGGGGTAGTTGTGAATTCAGACATTGTCTGCTTTACTCATAGGTTTCATCTTCTTTAAGATGTTGACAAATATAAGGCCTATAAATTTTATAAGATATGGATCAACTCTACTCATTTATTTTAGGTTATGTTCTCCTTGAAATAACTTTGCATTGCCCCTTTCACTATAAAGACCAATCCATGATGCAGATAATAAATCTTAAGGATAAAATGAACTAGTTCTAAAATCCCCCAGCCATCTACTCATTCAACTGCAAACTCTCCATCACTTTCCCTAAATTAGAGGTGACATGCCCTATCGCTCTTCTATCCTGCTTCTATGGTCGGTGCTGCCAATCAATCAAGGCATGGTTAACAGAACCTGAGGCTTCTTTGCCAAGTCTTAGAATCTTCCACAGCATTTCAGACAACCACTCCCAAAAGGATGAGGAAATATTGATTAATGGGAAAAAATGTATTCACTAGCCAATCAACATGCCCGGCTTTTGTTTTGCTTCCTGCTCCTACACAACTTTCAGGTTCTCTTTTTGATGAGCTTGAAACAGTAAGACTAAGTTTCAGTTAATCCTGAAACTGTCTTTCCTATAAATCTATACCACCTTCAGGGTCAAAATCATAGTGGATTGTGCTGAGTGGTTTAAACAATTTGAATGTAGTTGTAACCCATCACACAGTACAAAACCGCTCTGAAAAATACTAAAGAACCAAGTAAATAAAGGTATTAAACAGGCAAGAAAAGGAATGCAAGCGAGGACACTGTGCATACAACCGGGAAAGGTAAAGCATGAATAGCCCAGGGAGACGGTGCATAATACCAGGCTTAGAAGCATGAAAATAGGGTTGCAGTACATAATTCTGATTTTGCTTTTGGTACTCACTGATAATTCTTTATTCCGCTAAAGGGGCACCACACTGTTCTTTTAGCAGCATCTCCATTATTCTAATTCCCTATGGAGAGAAGAAAGAAAAATCAAAATGCCGTATTTCACGGACAAGCACTTTCACATTTATCAGAACGCTTTCCCTTCGAGGGATCCAAGTCATGGCCATATATTCATTTCAGAAAAGTAAGCGCAGAGCCCTGCCTTGCCTTCTTACAATATTTCACTCAGCAATTCCACATGCATTATCCCCACAGGTGCTGAAAATATTCAGGGAGGGAAGCAAACACAGTTTAGGATCTCCAGTTTTCACAGGAAAAAAACAGCCTGCTAAAGACTTACACCACCATGGAAGGGAATGAAACAATTGTAAAATATGAATAAGTAAATAAAACAAATAAAAGTAAATCAACCAAACTAGAAAAAGAAAAAAGAAAGCTCTAGAGAAGTTATGCGATTTCCTGAAAGTGGTTCAGCTACTAAATGTTACTGTCAGAGCTAGAATAACAGAAATAATTATTACTTGTTAACCACTTTAAAATTGTGCAACACTTGGTGCTGGCCTTCTTCCCCTTCCAGGTCAGTTAACCTGCCAGTATTTGAACCAGGGACTTGGCTTTTGCCGTATAAGCGCCCCAGGCATCCTCTAGGACCCTGGGACAAAAGCAGCCCTGAGCCTCTTCCTCTTCATGTCCAATGCTGTGCCAGTCTTCTTCCCTCCCAGGTCGGTTAACCCACCAATATTCGAACCCGGGACTTGGCTTTCACCATGCAAGCGCCCCAGGCGTCCTCTAGGATCCTGAGACAAAAGTAGCCCTGAGCCTCTTCCTCTTCGTCACCAATGCTGTGCTTGTCTTCTTGCCCTCCCAGCTAGTACCCCCCACACACACCAAGTTGCCGTGGGAGCGTGGCCATTTCGGAAGTGGGCGTGGCTTCTACAGAAGTGGGGGTGGCCTAATTCCAGGCCAGCCAATGTTCATGTAGCTACAGGTAGTTTACTCATACCAAAATAATTAGTGTAACATCTCAGTTCCCATACCTACAAACCAACATTAAGAAACAACACAAATCCCCACCACGTGGGGACAAAAATGAAGAGTCCAGAATCGGGAGAATTAACATTGTCAAAATGGCAATTCTTCCCAAAGCACTGTAGAAATTCAATGTGATCCCTATAACGATGCCCATGACATTCTTAAAAGAAATGGAGCAAACACTCCTGAAATTCATATGGAACAATAAACCCCCATGAACAGCTAAAGCAATTCTTGGGAAAAAGAAAAAGGGAAGAATCAACCTCCCAAACTTCAAACTCTACTACAAAGCAGTAATAATTAAAACAGCATGGTACTGGAACAAAGGCAGAGCTGCAGACCAATGGAACAGGGTTGAATATACTGACATCTCCCCTCAAACATAGGATCATCTAATCTTTGAAAAAGGAGCAAGAAATATGAAGTGGAATAAGGAAAGCAACTTCAACAAATTGTGCTAGCAAAACTGGACAGATACATGCAAAAAAATGGGCTCAGATCTCTGAGTAACACCATGTATAAAAGATCAAAATGGATTAAACACCTCAACATCAGACCGGAATCCATAAGGTACATTGAAGACAAAGTTGGCAAAACCCTCCATGACATTGAAGCTAATGGTATCGTCACAGATGTCACACCACCGGCCGAGCAAGTGAAAACAGAGATAGACAAATGGGACTATCTTAAATTAAGAAGCTTCTGCACCTCAAAAGAAACAGTGACCAAGATACAAAGACAGTCTACACAATGAGAAAGGATAATTACCCAACATACTTCCAACAAGGGGTTGATATTAAGGATATACAAAGTACTGGTTGAAATCCACAAGAAGAAAACATCCAACCCCATCAAAAACTGAGGTGATGAAATGAACAGATACTTTCTCAAAGAGAAATTCGAATGGCAAAAAGGCACATGAGACAATGCTCTACATCATTAATCATCTGGGATATGCAGATCAAAACCACAATGAGATATCATTTCACACCACAGAAACTGGCCCACATCCAAAACAACAAAAGTAACCACTGTTGGCATGGATGTGGTGATAAAGGAACCCTCCTTCACTGATGGTGGGAATGCCAACTGGTTCAGCCTTTTTAGAAAACATTATGGACAATTCTCCAAAATTAGAAATTGAGCTCCCATTTGACCCAGCAATACCACTCCTGGGATTATATCCCAGAGAGGCAAAAAAGTATAGTCGAAGTGACATCTGCACTTGTTTGTTCATTGCAGCACTCTTTACAATAGCCAAAGTCTGGAAAAAACCTGAATGCCCGAGAACAGATGACTGGTTAAAGAAACTTTGGTATGTCTACACAATGGAGTACTATGTAGCTATTAGAAGAGATGAAGTCATGAAATTTATATACAAGTGGTACTACATGGAAAGTATCATGCTAAGAGAAATGAGTGAGAAAGAGAGGGACAGACACAGAAAGATTGCATTCATCAACATAAAGTAACAAAATAGGAGACTAACACCCATGAATAGCCGAGATTAGTACCAGGAGTTTTACTCCATGGCTTGGAGGCCAGCCACACATGCTAGGGGAGAAGGCAGCTCAGATAGAGAAGGGAGCACCAAATAAAGGGTGATGGGAGGATCCTCCCAGGTTGGGAGAAACATGCTGAAAGTAGACTCTAGACCAAACATGATTGCCACTCAATGCCTCTTTTGCAAACCACAGCACCCAAAAGGAGAAAGAGAACAGGGGGGAATGCCCTGCCACAGAGGCAGGGTGGGATGGGAGAATGGGGGGTAGGAGGGATACTGGGATCATTGACGGTGGAAAATGGGCACTGGTGAAGGGGGACGGGTACTTAATCATTGTATAATTTAAACCCAAGCACAAAAATTTGTAAGTCTACAACTGTACCTCATGGTTTGTCAGTAATAAAAATTAAGTTAAAAAAAAGAAACGAAAAGAGTCCAGAAGCCTCAGTAGGTGCTATTCACCTAAAGGACCTCTCTGAGAAAGAATTCGGACATGAAGTCATGAAGATGTTCAATGAACTCAATGAAGTAGTCAGACAGATATCCAGTAACATGACAGAAATAACTGAGAAATTACGGAAGAAATGAAAGCAGATATGTCACGAATAAAAGATTCTGTAGATGAAATGAAAAACTCAGTCTGTGCTCTCAACAGTAGAATGACCACAGCTGAAGACAGAATAAGTGAGCTGGAAGATCAGCTGCACCAAGCCAACAGGCAACAGCAAACAATGGCAAGGGACCTCAAAATAGCTCTAGAGTAGCAAATGATTTCAAGAGGAGCAACATTAGAATCATTGGACTACCAGAAGCTCAGGGAAACAATCCCAATGAAAAAGCCATAGTTAAACAAATCATTGCTGAAAAATTCCCAGAGCTGGACAATACAGCCATTTGGACTCAAGGAGCCCGAAGGATGCCAGCTAAAAGAGACCCTAACAAAAACACTCCAAGACATATCATAGTTAGAATGATCGATGCCACGGATACTGCACACAATACTGCAAGCAGCAGAGTCAAAGAAGGAAATCACATACAAAGGAGCACCCTTTAGATTCACAGCAGACATATCAGAGGAAACCCTCTAAGCCCGAAGGCAATGATGGGATATAGTGAAAAAACTCACTGAAATGAATGCTTCACCAAGAATACTCCATCTGGCTAAACTCTCACTCAAACTGGAAGGAACAGTACACTATTTTTTAGATAAACAGCAGCACAGAAACTTCACCGACTCAAAACCAAACAACAGACTTATATAGTAAAGCTGCAGGCTATAAAATCAATATCCAAAAGTCCATGGCTTTCCTATTCGCAAATAGTGAGAGAGAACAAAGTTACATGAAAAAACAATCCCGTTCACAATTGTGCCCCAGAAAATCAAATACCTAGGAATTAGCTTAACTAATGAAGTAAAGAACTTGTACAAAGAAATAAAAGAGGACAAGAGAAAATGGAAAGATACCCCCTGCTCACGGATCGGGAGAATTAACATTGTCAAAATGGCAATGCTTCCCAAAGCATTGTACAAATTCAATGCGATATCTATAACGATACCCATGACATTCTTCAAAGAAATGGAGCAGACACTCCTGAAATTCATATGGAACAATAAGCCCCCATGATTCTCAAAAAATTAGAAATTGAGCTCCCATTTGACCCAGCAATACCACTCCTGGGAATATATCCCAGAGAGGCAAACAAGCATAGTCGAAGTGACATCTGCACTTGTTTGTTCATTGCAGCACTCTTTACAATAGCCAAAGTCTGGAAAAAACCTGAATGCCCGAGAACAGATGACTGGTTAAAGAAACCTTGGTATGTCTACACAATGGAGTACTATGTAGCTGTTAGAAAAGATGAAGTCATGAAATTTACATACAAGTGGTACTACATGGAAAGTAGCATGCTAAGTGAAATGAGTCAGAAAGAGAGGAACAGACATAGAAAGATTGCATTCATCTGGGGAACATAAAGTGACAAAATAGGAGACTAACACCCAAGAATAGCCAAGTTAGGTACCAGGAGGTTCACTCCATGGCTTGGAGGCCAGCCACACATGCTAGGGGTAAAAGCAGCTCAGATAGAGAAGGGAGCACCTAATAAAGGGTGTTGGGAGGATCCTCCCAGGATGGGAGATGCATGCTGAAGGTAGACTACAGACTGAACATGATTGCCACTCAATGCCTCTTTTGCAAACCACAGCACCCAAAAGGAGAAAGAGAACAGGGGGGAATGCCCTGCCACAGAGGCAGGGTGGGATGGGAAGGTGGAGGGTGGGAGGGATACTGGGATCATTGACGGTGGAGAATGGACACTGGTGGAGGGATGGGTACTCGTACATTGTATAACTGAAACCCAAGCACAAAAATATGTAAGTCAACAACTGTACCTCATGGTGTTTCATTAATAAAAATTTAAAATAATAAAATAAAATTGTGCAATGCTCATTGTTCTGGCTTTTATGTGCGTTAGACTGAGCAGTGGGTGCTGGGTGTGTGAAGTTTGTTGCATTCCTTATCTGCCTAC